GTTTAAGATACAATAGGTCTTTCTGAAGTAGCCATTCAGTTTGACTCACAATAGGAAGAAAACATTTTCATCAGTGATTTACTTGAAATGGGATTTGTGAATTGTTTCTGAGGTCCAAATAGATCTTTGGGAAAGGTTACACATAATAAGATTGAATGGTAATGAAAAAAATGAGAGATAGAAAATGTACAAAAAGTCATAAGCAGCTGCATTCCAGTAATTGATGTTTTAGCTAGGAGCACAATTTTTAACTATGGTCAAAACTTTCTATGCAGTAGAGAATAATAATAGCAATGTTTGCAAGCCCCTCTTAATGAAGTAGAATTTTAAAGAAATTCTAGCTCTTGTTTTAACGAGGAAGTTTTATAGATATTCATGACATAGAAGTTAAAATAATTCCCCTAAACAGTATTGAGTACTATTTCAATGTTGCTGACTACTTTCAGTGTGGCTTTGAATAATTCATGTCCAAATCATTGTTTTTTTTTTTTCAGGAGGCAGAGTTGGTAAAGAAGCCTGTCCCTTTCCATTGCTGATTCACCTATTCCTTTTTCCTTTCCACCTGACAAGCATGTTTCTAATTGAAATGCATAATAAAGTTTGCCTGTCCAGAGAAAGAAATGGAGAAGAATAGTTTATAGTTAATCTTATTTCAGTGTGACTGCTTAAAATCAAAATTAAATCTTCTTGAAGTTTGAATTAAAAAAAAAAAGAATAAAGTCCCATTTGTCAAGCACCATATATTGTACTTATTTATAGCAAGAAATAGGTTGCTATTTCTGAAATAAATGCTTTTTATAATAGACCAGTTTATGTCACAGATAGATGGGTGAAACAGCAAGGCATTCTGTATAGAGTGCTAATAAAACCATATTGAGCATGCTAAAATTTTAACAAAAACTCATCTAGCTCTTCATTATTTACAACGTAAACACTGAAAAATTGGAACAAATTTATGAAAACTCATTGCCATGTGGTACAGGCTTTTGGCGTTTTCAATATTATTCACAGCTTAATGAACTACTCCTAGTACTACACAGCTTTCTTCTGTTAACTGGCTTCTCTATTACATACACAATCATCTTCACTCCCCAAACAGCCTCTTTCTTAACATGCCTATTACTCTTGATGGCACCATCAGCCTCCCAGTCACTGAATCTCAAATGTTGGTGCCATTTTTAAATCCTTTTTCTTTCCTTGCCACTCACATAATAAGAAACCAGTGCTATATAGTCCACTTCTGTGATTTTCTCACCGATATCTCTTCTTTTCCATTTTCACTGCTATCAGTCCAGTTTAGACATTTATTAACTTTCACCTAACAAATCGTGGCCAAGTAAAATCAGGCCTGCCACCTGTCTTATAAATAATTTTTTTACTGGTACACAGCCATGCTTGTCTATTTGCATATCATCTATGATGCTTTTACTCTTCAACAATGCAGTTGAGTAGTTGTAACAAAGAACATATGGCCCGCAAAACCCAAAATGTTTATTATCTGGCCTCTCACAGAAAACATTTGTCATTCCCTGACCTAAAATATTGTCATAAGAATGCCTGCTAGTCTTATCTCCAGACTCTTCTAAAGCGAATCCTCACATCAAACTGTCTGTTGGATCGTTTTGAAGCATCGACATTCATGAAAGTCCCATGATCAAAACCCTCAAAGCCTCATGCTTTCATATATATTAACACATGCAATTTGGAGCCTAGTAAAAGCCTTACCTGTACCCGTATAAACTGATAAGGACTTGGTATCCTGGATATATATGGCCTTGAACTCCCCAGTTCAACTTGGAATATCCAACTTTGTACTGTGGAAATACTGATGATGGTAATTAGGAGCCCATCTAAAATAATATCCACTCCTGGAATCTTTCCCCAGTATATCCAGCCATATGCAAACCTGCATACTTTCCTCAGAAGATTTTCCTTCATTTTCTTTTTGCTATAGCCATTTGTCATCCACTGTCACTACACTGCAAGCTTATCAAAGAATAAAACTTGGCCCTACTTCATCTGCTGTTAATTGTGATTTGGTTCCTTGCATTTGTTTATTAATTTAACAGGCATTTGTTTTATACCATACATCCTCGGCATTGTGCTAATAAAGAAGGATGCAAAGAAAACATAATTGCTGCCCTCAAGGAGTTTACTTTTTTGTATCAGCCTTTTTAAAGTAAACAAAAAAGTATAATGACTTTAATATAAAGATATACCCAAAAGGAAGCCAAGACTTCTACTGGAAGACAAGGGAAAGAGCCTCAGCGTGGTTGGCAACTTAGTGCTCCTGGATAGGAGCTAGCCCAAGTGCAACACGACGGAGGAATATTTTAAGCAAAGAAAAAGAAATCAGCTGGACACACTGGTTCAAGCCTATAATCCCAGAACTCTGGGGGGCTGAGGCCGGCGGATCACCTGAGGTCAGGAGTTTAAGACCAGCCTGTTCATCATGGCGAAACCTCGTCTCTACTAAAAATACAAAAATTAGCCAAGCATATTGGCAGGCGCCTGTAGTTCCAGCCGCTTGTGAGGCTGAGGCAAGGGAATCACTTGAACCCAGGAGGCAGAGGTTGCAGCGAGCCTTTGAGTTACTGTATTCCAGCTCAGGAGACAGACTGAGACTCTGTCTCAATAATGAAGAAAAAAAAGGTTATGGAGATAGGATTTGTTAACTAAACATAAGATTTCATTGACTAGGAGAATTTTTAAAAATATATAGATTATAAAAAACTCAAATAGTTCACCGTTTCTCATAGAACCATTAGAAGTTCTATGAGGACATGTGCGTTCTGCTTCATTCTACATCTCACCTGTCATAATGCTTCCCTAGTCTAATTTTCTTCCAGCAGCTCTGTCCTTCGAGCTGCTCTCATTGTGCTTTGTCTAGCCAGACAGGCTTTATATCTGCAATTTCCCAGGTGGAACTCTACCTTTTCTGCCTTATAAACCAGTTACCTCAATACTCATACTTCAGATCTCCTCAAGTTTCTCTTCCTCTGAAAAACCTTTCCTGATTTCCCTGATTAGGCTAAAAAAAAAAAAAAAGTTCCATTAAATGTGGTCCTGGAATTAAATACCTCTCTTTCCAAGCTCTTAACATAGCTGGATTTTCACGGTTTTGGCTTTTGTTTTATTTGGTTTGGTTTTTGATTATTTGTTTAATATCTGTCTCATCGCCTAGAGCAAAATCTCTGGGAAAACATGAAATGTTACCACTGTATCCTTGGTGCAAAAAACAATTGTCTCTGCATATCATAGAACACATTTAAAAAACTCTATAATATTTACTTAACAGAATAATTAATTACCTGTAATTAATAAATAGAGGAGGAAGTAGTGAAAAATATTTCTAAAGTTGGCACTGAGCACATGGTTGCATGTTTATTGTGAAGAAAACACAACAGACTAGGGAAATACAAGGGACATGATTACTTTTGGTTTTTGACATGATATTTTTTACATGCAAAGTGAATTAGAATGTTAGTCTGGAGACCAGAAGAAAAAAGTCTGAGTTAGCAACAGGCATTTCAAATCTCTTATTGTAGTTAGTAAGATAACCCAAGTAGAGTATATCTAATTAAATAGGAGGTTTAAGAATGGCACTCTGAGAAATAACTGTGTAATGTAAAGGCAGTTTAGTAAGTAAGGTCTACGAAAGAGTTTTTTTTTTTTTTTTTTTTTTTTTTTGAGACAGAGTCTCACTGTGTCACCCAGACAGTGGTACAATTTTGGCACACTGCAACTCCGCCTCCCAGATTCAAGTGATTTTCCTGCCTCAGCCTCCCAAGTAGCTGGGGCTACAGGCACACACCACCACGCCTGGCTAATTTTTGTATTTTTCATAGAGATGGGGTTTCACCATGTTGGCCAGGCTGGTCTTGAACTCCTGACCTCAAGTGATCCGCCTGCCTTGGCCTCCCAAATTACTGGGATTACAGGCATGAGATACCACCCCCAGCCTATAAAAGATTTAATGACACAGAGAATTGGAAAGAAAACCAAGAAAGAGTATTTAGAAACCAGTAGGGGAACAAGTTTTGAAAAGGAAGAAACTTTACTGATGATCACTGAAGTGCTTCAAATCTAGCCAAACTCACTGGTGAGTTACATATTTCAAAGAACATATAGATGGAGAAAAACAAAGTTGCATTCATGAGTAGTACATATTTCTTGGATATCTTTAAGACGCTGGAACTTTTACTTCAGGGAAAGTTCTTTCAGTGTAGGGTTGGGTGTGTCATATAGATTTGAGAGTTGGCTAGGACACAGTGAATTTGGACTAGGAAGATCCAAGCTTTGTATCTTATGCCTGTGTGACTCAGACTATTTCTATTTTGTCAGGTTCTTCATCTGTGCATTGGAGACAATAATAGATATTTTCCAGAGTTACATGGTTTAAGGAAAATATAAATGAAGAGATTTATTTTATTTTTTCTCTATAATTTTATAGAAACAGTCTATTTTCATGCTAGTTTGAAGATTAAGGAAGGTAAAAATGCTGGCCTAACTTTTTCCTTTCAATAACATCGTGAAAACTATTTAAAGTACTTTTTAACAGAAAATGCAATCGTAGGGCATTCCACAAAAATTTCAGAGCCTTAGCAAAATCTATGTGATGAGGTAAAAGAATTCAGAAAATTGTTTTATGAATCTTTCCACCTGCAATAATATAAACAAATATTATAAACAAAATCCAAGTTCCAATTAAATTCTGGATATTTAATTACCCGTAGACATCTTAAAATGGGTTTAAAATTGCTATCATGTAGCCCTATGTAAATCACTCTTAATATTGTTTATAAACAGGTTGGCAATATATGGTAAAATAAAGCCCAAACTCAAGGGTAGCTGAGAATTCCATCAACATTAAAATATTTCTATGGTAAAGTGTTTTATCCACTTCAGAATCATGCAAAACACAATGTGCCCTTAATGAATAAGCAATTTCTAGAAAGGTTAAAAGTCTCTCTTTCGCTCAGGCCCGTGGCATCAGCAGAATGGGCTACTGTCGTGTACTTTGTACTGCTAGGAAGCTCCATAGTCACTGATGAGGCCAGAAGTGGTATGATAAACAGTACGAGAAAGCTTGTTTAGGCACAGCCCTGAAGACCAGCCCTTTTGAAAGTGCTTCTCCTGAAAAAGGAATTGTGCTACAAAACGTAGGAAGTGAAGCCGAGCAGCAAAGTTCTGCCATTAGGAAGTGTGTCAGGGGCCAGCAGATCAAAAATGGCAGGAAAATCACAGCCTTTGCACCACATGATGGTTGCTTGAACTTTATTGAGGAAAACGATAAAGTTATGGTTGCTGTTGGTGATGTTCCCGGAGTCCACTTGAAGCTTGTCAGAGTAGCCAACGTCTCTCTTTTGGCACTACACAAAGGCAAGGAGGAAAGACAAAGATCATAAATTGTAATGGTGAAAACACTGTAGTGATACATTTTCATGTTTTTAATAAATTTTCAAAAAAAAAAAAAAAAGAAAGTTTAAAAAAAGCTCTGCTCCTGATAAGTTTTTTGTCAACACAGCATTTAGGGAGTCAGCTTTTAGTTGGTATGATGTGCTATCCAAGGCAAGGACTAATTTAAAGAACTTAATCAAAGTGGTCATTGATATGGAGTATGAGATAAATATGCTATCAGAAGGTTTATCTTGTCTTTTTCTTAAAACTAACATTAGAATGCTATATGCTCCCATATTTTATTTTATTCTAGTATTTAGCTATTTGATTGCATACAAACATTATCTGAAATCCTTTCTTAACATGTGGTATATAATATAATAATTCTTTACAAACACGTTAAACTAGTTAAGGTCAGATCTAAAGATTTGCCAAAATCTTGAATTTGTTCTTTTCATACTGTATTTCTATCACAATAAGTGAAATTACAATTTTTTTAAAAAGTATTAAATTATCTAGAAAAAGTGTATATTGAAAATATTTAAACTGTCTTAAATTTTAGTTCCAAGCTTAGATAAAATTCAAGCAATTTCCAAATATATTTTTACTGTTCTAATTTAAGGCCCAATATTATACCTACTAATAAAAATAAAAATTTGAGTTTATAATAATTTTAATATTTATATATGAAATAAAGATACGAGTTTTATTTTCATAAGGAGATATCATTTTATTCAAGTCACATCTTTAATCTCTGTAAATTCTATAGGAGAAAATAGGAAAAAATGTTCATCAAGATCAGAGACAGTCTATAAAAGAGAATTTACTTTTTGAAAGTAGTAAACTTGGGATGTCTTCTCATGAAATTAAATAGAGTGACAATTTCTCTATGTAATCTGATGAATAATTTTAGCCAAAATAAATGAATCAGAACTTTACCCTATTGTCACTGTTTGGTTGTTCAGACTAAATAGAATATTTATTTCTATCTTATCAATAGATCATTTGCAAAAAAATGAAAATACTTTAAAGATATTTGTACAGCTTAATATATTCACTTTATATTTTTTACCTATTAAATATGTGAAAAAGGAAATGTACTAAGATCATAAAAGTTAAGGAAAGACAAGAATGGAATTATTAAAAATGCATACAATCATTTTGATTTGAGAATATGTAGCTAAAATAATCTGAATTTCAGTGTTTTGAAGAAGCATACATTGATTAACCTTTGGAAGATTTACCTTAGGGGAGTTTAATGGACAGATATAATGGGGAAACATTCATGTTTAAAATCAAACATTCCTTTGATTAGAGGGTGAATATTGTCAAAAATAATGTAAGTTGGCCAGTTTTTATGTATGAGGCACTTTTTGTCCACACAGAAACCAACAAGAAGAGTCAAGTACACACACACACACACACACACACACACACACACACACACACACGATATTCAAAATCACTTCATTCAAATTTGAAATTAAGGTCATTTTAGTGTTTCATGCTACAACTACTAGATAACTGCATAGCAACAGAATAGTCTTTGGAATTTTTCAATATTTCCAATACAGACATTAGCAAAATATCAGATGTCATCATCTTTAAACAAGACATGAAATAAACAAGTTAAGGATCTTCAACATGATGGCTATTAGCTATATGTATGTTATAAAGCAAACAACAGGTTTCTAAGGATCCTAAAGAGACTTATGTCACCGTCTGACAAATTATTGTTGTATCGAAAAACATTAAGAACACATTCTCTCCAAAATAAAGTTTCCATTTAGGCATAATCAGCAGGGCTTAATTAGAAAACATAAATAATTGAACGTGCTGCTGATCTCTGAGCAACAAACCTAAGAGTCACGTAGAAGCAAATTCTTGTTAGACAAAAGGGCATGCTGTACTGAATCATTCTCCAGTGTTTTTCTGTCTCCGATGGCAACATTTTCAGTGATAATTCAAATGAATACCCTCTGAGCAATTACTATAAATACATCTTCAGTTAAAATAGAAAAAAAAAAAAACAAACAAATAAATAAAAACTCTTGCAATCTCTACATAAAGCCTAGTTTCTAGAAATATAATAGAAAAAGAGGAAGAAGGAAATGGTATAGTTTAGAAATGCGTTAGTATATTGCAGTCTTCATAGAGTTAATCATTCTGGCAATGGTGTTAAAAACCAAACTTACAAATACTCCCTACTGAAGCAAAGTTTGAATTTATGTACCTGTTTCTCATTGTATGTAAGTCCCCCTTTAGTCCTGTGCTAAATGCTTAGCTACAGTCTTCAGTGGCTATTCCAGGTTCAGGTTGTTTACTTGAGGTTATTAAAAATATATCTGGCCGGACACAGTGGCTCACGCCTGTAATCCCAGCACTTTGGGAGGCCAAGGCAAGTGGATCATGAGGTCAAGAGATCTAGACCATCCTGGCCAACATGGTGAAACCCCATGTCTACTAAAATACAAAAATTAGCTGGGCATGGTGGCACACGTCTGTAGTCCCAGCTACTCAGGAGGCTGAGGCAAGAGAATTTCTTGAACCCAGGAGGGAGAGGTTGCGGTGAACCGGGGTCATGCCACTACACTCTAGCCTGGTGCCTGCCAACAGAGAGAGACTGTCTCAAAAAAATAAATAAATAAAAAATAGTAAACAGTGTATAAATTAACTAAAACAGTTTAGGCACATATATATAAAATCCAAATAGCTAAAAAAAATAAAAAATAAAAAATAAAAAAAAGCCAAAATAAAATAAAACTAAACACAAAAGCAAAAGTGTTAAAACAAAAAGCCAACTCTGTAAAATATTTAAAGAGGTTTATTTTGAGCCAAATATGAGTACTCATGGCCTGGGGTACTGAGAACATGTGCCAAAGGTGTTCAGGCTGCAGCTTGGTTTTATATATTTTAGGGAGACAGAAGTTGTAGGTAAAGGCATGAAACGTGAAGTATTCATTGGTTTGCCTTGGAAAGGTGGGACATCTTGAAGCAGAGAGGTGGTAGAGGGAGTGCTTACAGGTCTTAAGAGTGCTTACAGTCAAAGATTTTCTGATTATCTTGAAAGTTAAGCTTTGTCTAAAGTTGAAGTCACCAGAAAGAAGCCCAAACACTACTATGTCTATGTCTTTCATTCCCATTTCAAAATGGGCCATGTGTCATCTTCTTGGATTCTGTTTTTTCAGGATAACTAACCAAAAAGCTCTCCCCCTTTCTGTTTTATTATTGTATCTACTATAAAGAGGAATTGCAACATTGTCTCTAAAAGCTACAGCTCCTGCTCCTGCTCTTGGTGACTTTGCAAAGTCTTCCTTGCCCTCTACATTATATTACTCTCTGCTTTTCTCAATTTGCTTGTCTGTCCATATATTGTGCTATGCCTCAGGACTTCCAGACCTGAAAGAGACATCAGAGTACAGCCTAAAAACCCTAGACTAAGTGAGACTGTGACCGCCCAATGGGTTCACCTTGCCTGCTGCCTAGACAAAGCTGATTTATCAAGACAGGGGAATTGCAAGAGAGAAAGAATAAATCATGCAGAGCAGGCTGTGCAAGAAACGAGAGTTTTATTATTACTCAAATCAGTCTCCCTGAGCATTCTGGGATCAGAGTTTTTAAGGACAACTTGGTAGGTGGGGAGAAGCCAGTGAGCCAAGTGTGCTGATTGGTTAGGTAGGAGATAAAATCATGGGAAGTTGAAGCTGTCCTCTTGTGCTGAGTCAGATCCTGGCTGGGGACCGCAAAATCAGATGCTCTAGTTTATCCTTCTGGGTGGTTCCAGCTGATCCATCAGTTGCAGGGTCTGCAAAATATCTCAAGCTTTGTTAGTCCTACAAAGGCAATCTACTCTCCAGGAAGGACATTTGTTTTGGGAAAGGGCTGTTATCAGCTTTGTTTTAAACTGTAATTTCCTCCCAGTGTTAGTTCAGCCTACACCTAGGAAGGAACAAGGACAGCTTAAAGGTTAGAGAAAAGATGGAGTCAGTTAGGTTAGATCTCTTTCACTGTCTCGGTCATAATTTTGCAAAGGCAGTTTCAAGATCACTGAGCAGTTGTTTTCTTATTGGCAATGGCAACCATGACCTGTGCTCGTGCAGTGATGCTAGACATGCTGACTAATTCCTCCATGTTTGCTTTCTTGAGTCTTCCAGTCCTTCCACTTGCTTTCTCTCAGCTCTGGAAACAGACAATGTTTCCATTTGAATAACTTTACAGGAGCTTCTGTTAAGAAGACAGTTCCTCAGATAAGCTTCAGAGGTCTACTCTGTTATCTCTACCACATAGTCTCCAAACTCCAGGATTCCAGCAGAGGCATTTCCACGGAGTTATTGACCAGAAAAGACCTTGAGATATCTTCTAGTTGTCATCCAGGATATTCAAACCACACACAATAAATTCCTCAGCCAACTCCCATTTCCTTGTCACTGTCCTTAAACATTTTATGAATAAAATTTTTGTTTTAGTTGATTTTATTTTTTGAGATGGAGTTTCGCTCTTGTTGCCCAGGCTGGAGTGCAATGGCACAATCTCAGCTTATTGCAACCTCCACCTCCTGGATTCAAGCGATTCTCCGGCCTCAGCCTCCCCGGTAGCTGGGATTAGAAGCATGTGGCACCACACCCAGCTAATTTTGAATTTCTAGTAGAGACAGGGTTTCTCCATGTTGGTCAGGCTGGTCTCGAACTCCTGACCTCAGATGATCTGCCCACTTTGGCCTTCCAAAGTGCTGGGATTACATGCATGAGCCACTGCACCTGGCCTGAATAAAATTTTCAAAGGGATGACCCAAAATACCTCAATTTGGAGAGGTAGTATAGTACAATAGTCCAAAATTCAAATTATGTGACTAGACTGTCCGATATTCCAGTCTTAAGGCCCCTGCCTCCCTACCAAAAGGAACTTCAGTGTTTCATTTCATCTGATCTCTCTGTGCCTCCATTTTTTCACCTATAAATGGGGCAATATTTCTCCTGAGCTTTTTGGAAATAACAAATGTGTTAATCAT